CTGTCTGGATTCAGAAAGACCTGAATAATTCTAACTGGAACTGACGCTGAGTCTGACGACAGCGACACAGAAGAGGAAGCGGCGCTCTGTTTACCTCCGGAGGTCGTGGAGTTGCTCAGAAGTGACACCGAGGATGAAGAATTGAATGGATTTAGTGATTTGGAGTGAGATGGAGAGTTTGTTAAACTTGTTCTGTTCTGTTGTTTATGTTATAGTTTATCTGAAGAACTGTTCATATGTGACGTTAACAGTCTGTTGTTCTCTCTTCTATTGTTTTTACTAGAACTTGACTTTTAAGATGAAATGTCGGTCCCTGGTCTCTGATTTTAAAATAATTTTCCCTCAAAAAAGTGTGACTTATATATGTTTTTTTCTTCTTCATTACGCATTTTTTGGCTGGTGCGACTTATACTCCGGAGCGACTTATAGTTCGGCCTTTCAATTTAAATCAGCTCTAAACAAAAGTATTCCCCTCGACACATAATCTCACATTAACACAGACTTTTGCACTGCCTGCTTTTGTGAGGGAAGTTACAGCAAATATATCCACAGAATCGATTTGAAATGAGCTAAAGGAAAACTGTGATCCCATAACACGGCATTTTAGGATGAATTCTGAGCTTTAAATAATAATAATATACCTTCTGTGTGATATATGGATTTACTGTTGGCAGGACGCACACAGCATGACACTGAAAATGCTCGTGTGTATAAATGGGTCATATTTTTAGATAATACAAATTCAAAGAGCAGGTATTTTTTAACCACCCACGGGTCGGGTTATACGAGGCAGCAGAAAGTGAAACTAAACACAAGCTCCAAGTAAAGACGAGATTTAAGGTTGAATTACAGGTCAGGTCTGTGGTCTGGGGAGAAGTAGTTTTATATAGCAACAAAATACCAGCAATTTACAGTCGTCCCTCACTATATCGCGGTTCACCTTTTGCGGTCTCGCTGTTTTGTGGATTTTTTTTTTTTTGTGCAATCTTGCATGCTTTTTTTTTTTTTTTTTTTTTTTTTAACAGCGTATGAACGCGTATTGCATATTTAGTTTAGTCCTAGTCACAAATAAACCGCACTTGACTTTAAAGGAAACACAACAGTGTGATGGGTGAGTGGTTTTGTTTGTTTGTTCGTTCACGGTGACTCTGGGCTTTGTTCAGTTGTGGCGTGTAGGGAGGTTCTGTCTGGGACCAACGGATTGTCGGCGTGTTCGCAGTGACTCAGTTGTTCAGTCGTGTCTAGAAGTGGCGCATTGCACTCGCTTTTTCGGTTCGTTCCTCCGTTCCGTTCCTCGTCGGCGTGGAGTGACGAGTGTGGCTGCAGGTGTTTTTTGCTCCGTGTGTGTTTGTGTGTTGTGTCTGTCGAGAGAGCGGGATTTGAACCACCGACCTTCTGATCGAGCTCACAACCAACTCAGCTACTCTCAAGTAAATACACGAAAGCTAGATCTGTTTAATGCCGTAATAAGTAGGGATGGGCATGATTAATCGATTAATCGATAATTGATCATTAAGAATTTCATCAATTATGTTCGACAAACAGAATGTAGGTTGCTGTGCGTAGCATAGTGTGACCAAACGGGTCCGTACATGTGTCTCTGCACTCAGAAGGAGCGAGACACAAACAGTCAGTCAGTCTGCAACGTACTGAAGCACAAATGTGTATTTAACGATGATTTGTACAAGAAATTCCACACTTTCCGTTGCGTTCGGGACAAGTGTGAGTCCATGTGCACAGTGTACAAAGCAGCACATATGTTTCGGTGTCCAGTGGGAAAAAGTTCACCAGGACACCGAAAAACATGAAAAAGTTTTACCAGGTGAGAGACGCTCAATGTCGATGACGAGTCCCCACCTCCCACCTCCCACACAGTGTCCTGGTTTTGACAAACACAAATATGGTCACACTAACCTGTATTCACCTGAGTCATGTCTTTTATTCTGAAAGAAGTTGACCACATCAGCGACACAAGACCTTTGCTTAGTTTATGCAAATTAGCAATGCAGTTTTAAGTTTCGTTTCTGTGCGATTTGCACAAATCTGGATTAAACCCATTATAATGTCAAACGGGCTGATGTGGCTCTAGAGTGGTTATGTTTTATATGTCGTAAAGTTGAATTTATTTATGCAGATTAGTAGTGCAGATAGTAATAATAATGATGATCATTTTAATATAAAAAACGTTAATGATTAATCGATAATCGATCATTAACTCTCCCGACGATCGGTTAAGAAAATTTAATCGAATGCCCATCCCTAGTAATAAGGAACATTCCAAGCAAAACGATGGAGACAATCAGGCAACAGACCCACCACCAGAAAAGTTCCACAGTGCAGTTTTAACTCATACTAACACGTGTCGATTTGAAAGTCTTACCTGTACATGAACGGCGCCACAGTGGCCGTGTTGGGGTGGTTGTGCTGCTGTTGCTGGGGCAGTTGGACCACTCCGTTACCCCCCTGACCTGCCCCACCTCCTCCTCCTCCTCCTGCCCCTCCTCCTCCTCCCGCCCCAGACCCGGACAGCGCCGAGGTACTGGTGGACGAGGTTAGACTGGTTCTTTTGCCCTCCGGACCCCCGATGGACCTCTGGATGTAAAAACTACCACTCTGCCCGCCTTTGCTCAGCTTTGCCCCTTCTCCTCCGCTTCCACTTCCTCCTCCTCCTCCTCCTCCTCGGATGTTCCCGCTACTATTTAAGGCTTGCGGTTGGTTTTGAGTCTTGCTCGAGTTCGCAGTGGGCGCTTTGAGGCCCGGTTTGGGGATGCCGCTCGAGGGCGCTGTGGAGGTGCTGGTTTCTTTCTTGGCTGATGACGTCTTTCCGCCCTTGGGGATAAAGCTGCCGATTTTGGAGCTCTTTTTGCAGTTTTCCGAGGAGGCTTCGTCTTTGGGAGAGGCGGAGGAAGAGGAGGAGGGGTCTTTAGAGGTTTTCGAGGACTTGCTCTTCTCTTCCTTGTCCTTAGAGGGCGCCGTGGTTCTGCTGCCGTTGGACTTGGAGTATGATGAAGAGGAGGTTTTGGTTGGAGCGGCGATGGAGGATGTTTGGGTCTTGGGAGGGGGCTGCTTGGCTGGAGCCGTGCTGTGAGAGGAAAAGATGACAATAGTTAAAATAAATGGTTTAATTAATCAACCATGAATTACTGTTATCAAGTGCAAATTATATCAGAGAGCCTAAAACTTGTATAATCTGTATAAATGTCTCTTTGGAGATGTTATTACACTGCCTAGTGTTTCACAGTACGACATAAGAAGGTGATGATCTGTGGAGAAGCAACCACGCTCACAGTAAGAGCAAGAAAAACATTTATAAACGGAGACAATATTTATATTTTTACATTTTTAAATAATTATTTTCTATTGCCTTTGTTTTCTTTTGCTTTTGAAAGAATGAAATTTCTACATTGTGAGCCAATGTATGCATTTTCTCATGTTATCAACGGAAATTTTGGGGAAATTTGTGCTGTTTTAACCATCAATTTAACACTAGGTTATTACATCAGTCTAAACCAGGATGGACCAGTAGTCTCCTGCAGAGGAGGTGCTACCATAAAGCAAAAGTAGGCGGCCACAAAAGTAGGGCCCCCAAATCTGGAGGGGCCCCCAAACAATTTGCCCTCAGTGCCACTAACGACCGAGGCCGAGTAGTTTACTTTTAAACAATAATCGGTAACTTTATAATAACTACACCTTATTTAGCCTTAATAAAGCATGAATAAAGACTTAATTGATAATGAAGAAAGACTTAATTAATAATGATTCACGCTTAGTAATTGTTTAATAAAGGATAATTAGTCTTCACTTTAGAAAAGCTCTCCAAAAGACTTAACTAACAGATAATAGCTGCCTGAATTATCATTGCATTGTATTATTAGTAAATCATTCTCTCGTAGTTTACTAATCATTAATAAATGCTCAAATGGTTAGTCCATGAGTAATTAAGTATGAAATAATTATGAGTAATTATTTAAAGCACAGGCAAATTAAGTGCAAGTGTGAATTAAGGTAGTAATTAAGTAGTTACTAAGCGTGAATCATTATTAATTAAGTCTTTGTTCATGCTTTATTAAGGCTAAATGAGTTGTAGTTATTATAAAGTGTTACCCAATAATCATAAGAGAAATAATAATAATCATATGTAAATGTAAACAAAAATGTAATTGTGCGTATTGTGTTCCTCCCCCTGCATCCTGATTGGCTAAATGATTGTAGACCTGTCAGTCAATCTCTTCTGTGCCGTGTCTCCTGTACAGTACAGTCCTGGAATCAGTCTTAGGTTAGTCCTGGGTTAGTCCTGGTTCAGTCCGTGGTGTATGCAGTGCAAAAGTTTGATATAATCTCGGGTTAAGTGCGGATGCGGTGCTGTAATACACGGGTGCGGGTCTCCAAAAATGGACCTGTGCAGGACTCTGTGCTGTCGGGCTCCATTATGGAATAAATGAATCCAAACAAAAGGATGACAGCAGCAATAAGTTTTAAGAAGGATGTAAAAAAGGGTTGTAACTCTCCTATGTGAGAAAAGTGTCTAAACCAGAGGTGCTCACACTTTTTCATCATGTGAGCTACTTACAAAATGACCAAGTCAAAATGATCGACCTAATACAAAGTCAAACAAACTGCACTGAAACACTCTGTGCCCCTTTTTTGGACCCTCACCCACAGTTTGAGAACCTCTTCTTTAAGAGAACTTCCTCTGGCACTTTACACAAAACTGTGAAAAAAGTGAAGGAAGATTTTAAAACCTGTTTTTTAAAGTTCCAAACTGGAGTTTCATTCTTTTCTGGTTTTGCAGTGATATTTACCAGCCTCTGCACGTTTACCAAACCAAACGCACATCGTGACAAACACAGATGCATTTGTGCACTTTTGTTAGACAAACTTCAGCCAAATGTGGCAGTAGGTCTGTTCTGTAGATCCGCTCTATGCTGTAGACCTGCTTTGTGCCAACACTGGAACACAAATTTAGACTGGTTTTTGCTTCACGTTTGGTCTTGCTCTTCTAATCAGCCGCACTGTGGGAGGGGCTTGTGTTGGCTGTACGCAGGAAGGAGCGAGAGCGTGAAAAGGCGAGGGGCGGCGTGCTGACGTGAGGCAGATGGACAGGTAGGATGTTTAGGAAGTTGAACCTGCCCTGTGATGCACGCTGGTACACGAGGACACACGCTGTCGCAGACGAGCCGTGCATAGGGAGCGTGTGTGTTTGTGATGCGCCGTAGAGTCTCCGCGGGTTTCAAATGAGCGCACAGGCTGCACTGAGACGCCCCACACGCTCCTGCACCCGCTACAAGTTTATTACCAACAGCAGCGGCCGGAATGAAATATGATCACACTTGTTGAGTGTCAGACCTCGAGTGAGAGACAAGACCGAGTCCAAACGTGAGTCCGAGACGAGACACGGCGATCTACCCACACGACCTTGGCGATCGACTGGTAGATCGCGATCGACGTATTGAGCACCCCTGGTATAAAGTGTGTGCTGAGGGTTTTTACAGACTTAAAACAGATATAATAACTGTAAAAAATAAAGTTGACTACTTCGGATTTCACCTATCGCGGGTTATTTTTAGAACGTAACCCCCAGAGATAAAGGAGGGACCACTGTATGTTATATAGCGCTATAAGATTTGTGTTCTTGATGTGTGTGAGCAATTTTTGATCGTGTAAGGTGAAATATTATGAACTGAATAAAGTGAAGTGTGCCCGTGGGGGATGCGGTGATCACACAAAAGAGACGTGTGAACTGTGTTTTAAAGGTCACGTTAAACTCTGTGTAGAAGGATCCTGCAAACATGAGAGACTCAGGCCCTAAACTAGAAGTATTAATGATATTTTTATGGATGTTTACATGAAAATGTGACCACAAGCTTCTATTGTTTGGGTTCTCTCTGGGTTTTTTGTTGTGGATTTAGTTTAATCCACAAGACTGAGCTTAGTTTTTTAAATGAAATGAATATCCGACGAATCCGTTCTTTTTTTGTTATGATATAAATTTGACATTTACTGATTCATCACCAATTATAGCAGTTGATAAATGTAAATATCTTGGTTTATGGCTCGACCCGTCGCTCTCATTCAGGGCCCACATACAAACTATTACAAACTAAATTCCATATCGCTTAAAATTACTTTATCAGTCCATCAGTTGTTTTAGCTTTTCTGTTAGGAAAAAGATTATTTCACAACTAATTCTTCCCATTTTAGATTACTGCGATATCATTTATCAAAATACTACAACTTCTATTCTCCAACCACTCAACGTTATCTATAAGAGTCTGTGCAGATTCGTTCTCCGCTGTCCCTTCAGAACTCACCACTGTACGATGTATCACCAACTGTCCTGCTCACTCTGTCCTCCCGACGTCAACTTCACTGGTTATTATTTATTTTTAAATGTATTAATCTCAGTTATCCTGAATATCTTAAACAGTATTTAATTCCATTCAGATCCTGTTATAGTTTACGTCACACAGATCAGATATTTTTTGTTGTCCCAAGAGTCAAAAAACAAATTGGAAAATACTCATTTAAATATAAAGCTGCTTCTGATTGGAACAATCTTCCCTCATCGATTCGTGCTTTAACTTCTGTCCCTTTATTTAAAAATGCTCTGGTTCAGCATTTACATAACCCATGTCATTGTTTTTGATTATTTTGTTGAATTTTGTTGTTTATCTTTGAATTCTGAATTATTATTATTATTATTATTTTTATTTATTATTATTATTATTATTATTATTATTATTATTATTAATTATTATTATTATTATTATTTTTTATTATTTATTTATTTATTATTATTATTATTATTATTATTATTATTATTTATTTTTTTTATTATTTTTTATTTTTATTTTTTTTTCAAATTTGTTTTATTATGTGTGAAACAGTGAAGCGTGAGTGAGTGTGACTGTGTGTGTGTGTGTTTGTTGTTGTGTTGATTTTGTTGTTTTGATGTTTGTTTGAGTTTCTGTCTCCTACTGTTTGCCCGACTGTATCTGTATCTGTCTTTTGTTGTTGTATTCATGAGGAACCCCTTGAAAACGAGATGGTGACACATCTCAAGGGGCTTATCCTCCAAACAAATAAATTCAAATCCAGTTAAAGTTAAAGTGTACCTGGTCGGCGTGCTTCCCTCGTCTCCGTACTCCGACAGATCGTCCTCCTCCTGCAGAGCCATCTCCACCACAGACGGGGACACTCTGGAACCCGCTCGGGGCGTGATCAGCCTGAACTTCTCCAGCATGGACCTCTGAGGGGGAGGTCCGGCCGTGCCCACCCCGGCCTGGAGCCCGGCGTCCTGCGGGGAGGGGTGCGTGGGGCTGGCCAGCATGGAGGAGGTGGCGCTGTGCTTGAGGTTCATGGATTTGCTTCTCCAGGACTTGGAGGAGGTGGGAGAGGGGATGGAGGAGGCCAGCTGCTGACCGCTCAGACTGGGGGAGAGGGAGCCAGAGAGAGAGCTCCCATTCAGACCGCCGGACACAGGGATGGACCGCACCGAGTCTGGAGACAAGACAAGACAAAGGTAAATGCATTAGAAACCAGGAATGTAACAAAAACAAATATCGTGATAGCGTATCGTCAAAAGTCTCACAATAATATCCAGTCCAATCCAACTTTATTTGTATAGCACATTTTATAAATAAGATCGTTTCCAAAGTGTTTTACATATCAATATAAAACATTTTACAAAAATCAGCAGAATTATGTTCCAACCATGAGGAAACTAATACAATCAATCAATAAAACAATAATAATAAAATGTATTCATAAAAGCAGTACTAAAAAAAAAAAACAATAAATAAAACAATAAATAAATAAATTTAATATTTTTGATAAAATAAAATAAATAAATAAATAAATACATTAAATAAATAAAATAAATACATTAAATAAATAAAATAAATAAACAAATAAAAGATATCATGGGTCATCACAATATATCGAATTACTTTAGAACTACTACTACAACTACTACTACAACTTCTACAACTACTACTACTACTAGAACTACTGCTACTACTACAACTACTACTACAACTTCTACAACTACTACAACTACTACTGATACTAATACTAATATACTAATACTAATATTTAAAAAAACAGCAGTAATTCATCATTTATAGTGATGCTGTGGGGGGGTTACCATGGTGACACCATGCACACACGGTAACAGCAAACACTGCCAAAGTAGTTTTAAGATCATCTCAAAAGCCAATAAAAACACAAAATGGATTTAAACGACACATTTTCAGGAGCCTGTGATCAATACAAACGGAGTAAGTTTTTTTACGGTCAGATTATGTTAAAAAAAAAAAAAAAAAAAAAGCTCAGATTAAAGTTAGCGTCACACTCCCAGGGAACGTCTCCAGATCCCGACTTTAATTAGTTTGGTTTGGACACATTTGCGCCTTCACACTTTATGCAAATGATCAGGCTGTGTAAAGAGTGAACAGGTGGGGCTTTGTTTGCACAGTTTGCGTGTTCTTCCCGTGTCCCCGGTTACTCCAGATGCCCCGCCGTGCCCAATAAACCCGCAGCGAAGAACACGAGCTCAGGAACCTGGCACAACATCTGGACACGGGTGCCCTGCCACGGTGCGGCGCTGAGATCACCCGCCGCTCCTGACAGGTCGCCCATTAAGACTGAAGGATGGGTCAAATGCACAGGACATGTTTCCCCCCCCCAAGACATTTAAAGGTGCACTGTGTAACTTAATGTGCGTCACCTTGGAGATTTTGTTGTTTTGCTTGGAATTTTTAACAGTGAGAGCTTTAATTCTGAATAAAAAAGTAATTTTGCTTTAAAAAGACCATGTAAACACTTGGTGAAAATGATTATTCGGAATTAAACATAATTCCAAAGTAAGTGGGTGGTTTATTCCGATTTTAAAGACAAATTAATTTATTCCTCGATCATGTAAACGTTTATTCTAATAATAATAATATAATTAAGCGCATACTCGTTGTGTCGTCCTTCTGACGCGATACAAACGATCCAGCTCCAGTTTAGTCCTGGTTTAGTCCTCGGTTCAGTCCTTGTTTAGTCCTGGTTCAGTTCTGGTTTAGTTCTGGTTTAGTCTTGGTTTAGTCCTAGGTTCAGTCCTGGTTTAGTCCTGGTTTAGAACTGGTTTACACCTAGTTTAGACCTGGTTTAGTCCTGGTTCAACTCTGGTTTAGTCCTGGTTCAACTCTGTTTTAGTCCTAGTTTAGTCCTGGTTTAGTCCTGGTTTAGTCCTGGTTTAGACCTAGTTTAGACCTAGTTTAGTCCTGGTTTAGAACTAGTTTAGTCCTGGTTTAGTCCTGGTTTGGTCCTGGTTCAGTCCTGGTTTAGTCCTGGTTTAGTCCTAGTTTAGTCCTGGTTTAGTCCTGGTTTAGACCTGGTTTAGACCTAGTTTAGACCTGGTTTAGACCTAGTTTAGTCCTGGTTTAGTCCTGGTTTAGTTCTGGTTTAGACCTAGTTTAGTCCTGGTTTAGTCCTGGTTTAGTCCTGGTTTAGACCTGGTTTAGTCCTGGTTTAGTCCTGGTTTAGACCTAGTTTAGACCTAGTTTAGTCCTGGTTTAGAACTAGTTTAGTCCTGGTTTAGTCCTGGTTTAGACCTGGTTTAGACCTAGTTTAGACCTGGTTTAGACCTAGTTTAGTCCTGGTTTAGATCTGGTTTAGACCTAGTTTAGTTCTGGTTTAGACTAGTTTAGTCCTGGTTTAGTCCTGGTTTAGTCCTAGTTTTAGTCCTGGTTAGTCCTGGTTTAGTCCTGGTTTAGTCCTGGTTTAGTCCTGGTTTAGTCCTGGTTTAGAACTAGTTTAGTCCTGGTTTAGTCCTGGTTTAGTCCTGGTTCAGTCCTGGTTTAGTCCTGGTTCCTGGTTTAGTCCTGGTTTAGTCCTGGTTTCAGTCCTGGTTTCAGTCCTGGTTCAGTCCATATACGGCGCAAAAGTTCAAGTTATTTTGTTGAGAGTAAATTAAAGTGCTGTAATATTCGTGTAATATTTTACATTTTAAACACAATAATATTGTAACAAATAACTTTAAAATGGCAGAAACACGTCACAAATAACACATTAGAGTTTTGAAGTCACGAGACAAGGTCAGATCTGCGGAAAGGTGGGCTTGCTAAAAAAAAACAACAATCTCCCTCGCATATCTCCACGGACACGACCAGGTGCTATCCAAAAAAGTTACACAGTGTGCCTTTAAAGTCGGAATATTCCAGAGTTAAGTTTGTGTGTGTTTTTGTCAAACGGCCCTCGCTCGGCACAAGTGACATTTCATTTTGTCGTCCACTGAAGAACAAAAAAAAAAAAAAAAAAAAAAAAGAAAAAAAAAAAAAGGGAAAAGGGGTCCTGGGTGTTGTTGCTATGGAAACGGCACTGTCAGGTGAAAAGCGTGGCTCCGGTTAAAAAGGGGGAAAGAGGGAGGGAGGAGAGATGGAGAGAGAGAAAGAAGGAAGGACGGAGAGAGAGAGAATGAAAGAGGAGAAAGGAGAGAGAGAATTGAAAGGAAGAGAGAAGGGAAGAGCAGAACAAGACAGAGAGAGGGGGAAAGAAAAAAGAAGGAGTGAGGGAAAGATGGAAAAAAGGGAGGTGGTAAGAGACAGTGAAAGATGAGAGAGAGAGAGAGAGAGGGATGGAGGGAGGGATGGATGGAGGAGATGAGGTTAATTGACTGGACACAACACAGCGCCACAGCAAAACTGAACTTGGTCATTTGTATTCAGACACCGAGGCTCATATTATCTGTGAAAGAGAGAGAGAAAGAAAGAAAGAGAGGGAGAAAAGAGAGAGAGAGAGAGAGAAAGAGAGAAAAGAGGGAGAAAGAGAGGGAGAGAGAGAGAGAAAGAGAGAAAAGAGGGAGAAAGAGAGAAGGGTAAGAGAGAGAGAGAGGAGAAACAAGAGAGAGAGACAGGGAGAAAGAAAGAATGAAGAAGAGAAAGAGAGAGGGAGAGGAGAAACAAGAGAGAAAGAGAGAGAAAGAGAGGAAAAGAGAGAGAAAGGACAGAGAGAGAGAGAGAGAGAGAGAGAGAGAGGGGAGAGACGGGGAGAAAGAGACTGGAGAAGAGAGAGTAAAAGGAGGAGAGAGAGAGAGAGAGAGGGAAGAAACAAAGGAGAGAGACAGGGAGAAAGAAAGACTGAAGAAGAGAAAGACAAAGGATGAGAAAGAGAGAGGGAGAGGAGAAACGAGAGCGAGAGAAAGAAAGGAGAAGAGAGAGAAAAGGAGGAGAGAGAAAAAGGACAGAGTGAGAGAGACTGAGAGAGAGAGAGAGACAAGGAGAAAGAGAGTGGAGAAGAGAGAGAAAAAAGATGAGAGAGAGAAAGGAGGAGAGAGAGAGAGAGAGAGAAAGAGAGAGAGAGGGGGAAGAAACAAAGGAGAGAGAGAGACAGGGAGAAAGAGACTGGAGAGGAGAGAGAAAAAGGAAGAGAGAGAGAGAAAGGAGAGAGAGAGAAAGGAGGAGAGAGAAAGAGAGAGAGAGAGGGGGGGAAGAAACAAGGGAGAGAGACGGGGAGAAAGAAAGACTGAAGAAGAGAAAGACAAAGGAGGAGAAAAAGAGAGGGAGAGGAGAAACAAGAGAGAAAAAGAGGAGAAGAGAGAGAAAAAGGAGGAGAGAGAGATAAAAAAGGAGAGAGAAAGGAGAGAGAGAGATAAAGAGAGACAGGAAGAAAGAGACTGGAGAAGAGAGAGAAAGGAGAGAGAGAGAGAGACTGGAGGAGAGAGAGAAAGGAGAGAGAGACAGGGAGGGAGAGAGGGACGAGAGAGAAGAGAGAAAGAGCAAAACAGAAGAGAGGCTGGGAAAAAGGAAGAGAGAGAGAGAAAGAGGGAGAGGGTGAGAGAGAGGAGAAACAAGAGAGGGAGACAAAGAGAGAGAAAGAGTGGAGAAGAGAGGGATAGAGAGGGGGAAAGTAGGAGAGAGAGAAAGGAGAGAGAGAGAAAGAGAGAGAAGCACAAGAGAGAGAGAGGAGAAACACGAGAGAGAGAGAGGGGAGAGAGAAAGAGAGGGGATGAGGAGAGAGAGAGAGAAAGATTGAGAGAGAGAAGGGGAAGAGGAGAAACAAGAGAGAGAGAAAGAGTGGAGAAGAGAGGGAGTGAGACAGGGATAGAGAGGGGAAAAAAGGAGAGAAAGAGAGAGAGGGAGAAGGACGAGAGGGAGTGAGAGACAGGACGAGAGAGAAGAGGGCGAAAAAGAGGAGGGAGTAGGAGAGAGTGGGGGGAAAAGAGAGAAACAGAAGAGAGAAGAGAGAAAAGAAAGGAGGGAGACAAAGAAAACACAAAATGGATCGTGAAGAGAGTAGAGAAAGAGAAGTAAGAGAAGAAGAGAGAAACAGAGGGAGAGAGAGAGAGATAAAAGAGATAAAGACAGGAGGAGGAGGAGGAGGATTTAGACAAACAGCAGCTCTGCGTTTTCTTATCAGCGGCGCATTAGAGGAGCTGATGAAGAGGAGCTGATGAAGAGGAGCTGATGAAGAGGAGGGAGACGAGCACCTTTGGGTCTCGTGTCTCTGACGGTTTA